TTCCAAGATTACATGATGGGCTGAGGCCAGAAAAATGACTTTGTGTTCCAGTGCTGCATGTTCACGATAACCCATGAGCTCAGCTGGGTTCCTTTGGAGTCTCAAGAGACTAGAATCAAGACTAGAATCCCCTAATCTTGCCTTTGGTCTACCCCTCCCTAATATGCATCCATTTTTTAATGTTGCATATCTTCTGAACATTGGAGAAATAAGCAGAAGGCCACAATAAAATAATAAAGGCAGAATTCCCTAGAGAATTGAAATAGACATCATTTGCTGCCTCAGTGTGGCTGCCAGTCAGTCTCTTTGATGTAAAGCATCTGTCCTGTCTTCTTCAAGGAAACAAGAAAGCTCTGATTCTTCTCTCTAATCTGTGAAGTAGGAGTTGGTGTCATTTGTTGTACAGAGCAAGGAGCCACATGTTACTGGGCTGCAAGCTGCACACTGCCTCGGTTAACATGCTACAATTTCCATCAGCTGCCTTTAATAAAAGAATATGCATGTGAGGGAAGGCATTAGCAGGTGTGGTTGAGCATCCCCAGCCCATGAGTTTCAACTGACAAGAGCAATTACATCCATATGTAATCAGACAGCCAATCACTTGAAATTCTTGTATTTTGGTTGTAGAGCTATGCAGTCTTTAAGTCAATTTAGAAACCTATACATGCTCTTATTTGGTTATCAAAAGTCTTTCCATACCCTTTCCTTCTGTTTAATATTTAATTATTTATGGCTTCCCTTAATAAAATTTCATTTGAACATTTACTAACTTAATTCTATGACTAAGAGAATAATTCTACTGTATAGGGGGATAGACATTGGATCTTATGTACTTTGTTCTATGTGTTAAAACCTCTTATAGGAAATTCCATTGTAAAAGCTGTAAAATGATCTATAACTAACCTATAGAACAGTGCTTCTCAAATTTTGATCAGAATTCCAAGCCTCTGGGCATCTTGTTAAAATTCAGATTCTGATTCAGTAGCTGGGGCCCAAAATTCTGCATTTCTGTCAAGCTCCCAGGTAGTGCTGATGCTATTGCCTGAAACTACAGTTTGTGTGGCTAGGTGTATTAGTCCATTTTCCGTCACTATAACAGAATACCTGAAACTGAGTAATTAATAAAGAAACAAAATTTAGTTTTCAAGGTAGAGGGCCGCATATGGTGAGGGCCTTCTTCTTGGTGGGGACTCTCTGCTGTGTATTGAGATAGCACAGGGTATCACATGGCAAGAGTGCTGAACATATGTTATTGTGCTCACTTGCTCTCCTGATAAAGCCACTCCCATGATAACCCAATCATTCATTACCTCATCAATCCATGCATGGATTAATTTATCCATGGGGGCATATCCCTCATGATCCAGTTGCCACCCAAAGGCCCCACCCCTCAACATTGACAGGTTGGGGACCAAGCTTCCTTGTGAGCTTTGGAGGGGACAAACATTCAGAGCATAGCACTAGGCCAGAAGACCTGAAGACGTTTAGTCCAATGGGAATCCATAAACTCTCCTAGCCACTGCTGTGGAGGGGAGAACTGACAGACTTAAAAGATAAAGCCCCTGTCTTTGAAGAGAGAAAACAACAATGTAAGAAAAAGTAGTGTCTATGTCTAGTCTTATTCATAAATATTTAACAAACACGAGATTGTTTATGTTGAAATAACTGTTGATACTTTCAAAGTGGTTACCTAGGTTTCAAAACAATGATACTTGTTACTTGTGAGTATGTCACATTTTAGCATAACTGTATGTAAATTTCATCGGTTTCCATTCACTCGAGAGGCTATAGTGATGTTTTAAGTATTACATAGTGAACGTGTAGGTTTTTAAAATAAAACAACTTTTATTCTATTAAAATATACATTTATATTCAAACCAAAATGTTATAACTGAATCTAAAATGTTTAGCCTCTTAAAAATATTTTGATGTTCTTAAATATGCACATGTTTAGTTTACATATATTTTTACTCTTTAAGGAAAGTAATTAATGAGTATATGTGAACTCCCTTGAGATCTGTTATCCCACATTAACTTTGTAGTATCAATTATTTTTGTTTAATAAGTAATACATTAGTGTGGTGAATACAAAATTAAAGTTATTACAAAAATACCACTGTAATTAGCATTCAGAACTCATTTATCAGAAAAGACTTAACTTCCTAATTGTGTTTTTCTTAAAATAATAAAATACTAAATGCTAATCATTGTATGTCAGGTAGATAACTCCAAAGCATACAAAGACAGAAGAACTTCAGGCTGCAATTTAGTAGTAATAGTAAAATTATTTTTGTGGCTTGGTATACTTCACTACCCATTTTCACATCCATCTCTTATAGGTTTAACCTAAAAAAAAGGCAAGAAAGCTAGTTAAGATAGAGCCAGTTAACAATCCTCAGCTTTTGGATTTAGTGGTTGTTCAGGCACACTGACAAGGATATTCTACTTTGTGATTTTGAAATAAAGAGAAGGAGGTGGGAAAGAAAAGGAAAAAGACAATGATGTTTGTGTCCTCATATAATCTTTACAGCAACCCTATGAAGCAAGTACTGTTGCCATCCCACTTGTAGAAGAAACTGAGGTCTCCAACCCTCACTCAACTTGTTCAAATGCACAGATCTCTGGAGCTGATATTTGAACCTAACCAGTCTGACTTTGTAACTTCTGAGTACTTTTAATAACCCCTTTGAATTGCAATTGTAGGTACAGACACTATTGGTACAGACACTTTGGAAATAAAGTGATTTAAGAAATTACAACTATCCCACAGAACCATCTGGTTTCTCTCAGCCCACCACTGGGCCTCTTCTATTTCTGGTTAGTAAGGAACCGTCTCCAACAGTGGTTCTCCCTCCGTTTCCTCTCTTTTCACTCAGTATAACAGGAAATCTGTACCTTTTATCTACTTAGCATCTCTAGTAATTCAGGCTGTAAACGTACTTCCGCATCAGTTTAGTAGCTGTTTATTGATAATTGTGCTAAGCACTGTGAGGGGACATAATTCAGAAATGTGTCCAGGCATCCAGGAACTCAAGATAATAACAACGGTGTGATAACAAAGTTCTTTTAGGAAGACAGAGTAGGTGGTGGTATTTTCAGTTTCCAATGTGGAGCTTTTTACCACATATGTAATTTAAAGCTGTGTTTATTTGGATCCATGTTTAAAATTAGAAATTGACCATCTGTATTTTTCTTGGTAAGCATGGAGTCATACTGACCAAAAGGTTTTTGAAGGTCAGGGTTAGATTATATGTGCAACATTATTTTTGGAAAATAAAAAAGGATGTAGAAAAGTTTGAAAATAATGACGAGTAGCTAAAGACTTTTATGGTGTATATCCAGAGACATATTATGTAGCCATTGAAATAAAAATTTTAAAGGCTGAACAGCAATATAAAAATCACAAATTATACGTGTGCTAGACCTCAAGCAAGATCATACCAGGAAAATAACCTTGACATTTTTAGAGTGTCTACTTTATATCTGCACTCTGATACACGTATTTGTTTATTGTTCTCATTGTATCTTTCTAACAGCATGCAAAGAAGTTTGTGTTATTTCAGTATTTCACAATGAAAGAATTAGGGTAGAGATATGTTAGGGGACTTCACCAAGATCACAGTCAGTGATTGAATAATACCTCAAACCCAGATCTCTTAAAATCCAAATCTGATCATTTTTTTTTTCCAATCTGTTTTTCTAAGTTATTCTGCCCTCTTCCCTAGCATTAGAAACTCCAGACTGTGCAAACTCACTGAAGTTTGAAAACTGTATTCAAAAGGAAAGTTGATAGATTTTGGTTCAGAAATAATTTTTTTTTACAGTAAAGAGTGGACTCACATGAATACAACTGAAAAAATCATGCATTGCAAAAATACTAAATCATAAAAATAATTGTGAATTATTTAGATTGTAGTGAAGAGTTGAAGGACAATTAATCGTTGACACTATCTGTAAAATGAAAGCATGATTATAGGATAAACACTTTTAACTTTATCCATTATTCAAAATACACATTTATGTAACTGCCAAAATTTTAGCTTCTCTCTGTTAGCCAGAACGTTCCAGGGACAAGACAAGAGCAGAACAGCCTTTATTTGTAGATTGTAAGTAAAACATATTTTTCCTTTGGGAAGGACTTTTGTTGTTGTTTTCTAATATCTGTGAATTTGGGGATGGAAACCTTTGTATTAAAGTAGTGCTACATAAGTCATGCCTTTTAAAAAATTTTTTTAAACTTTTTTTTCACAAATAGTTTTGTATTGCAATTATTTTGCTTACTCACAGTTCTATGACAATTACTTTACTTTTTAACAAATAACATAAGACTTTTCTTATAAAGCTTACATTCTTCTGTGCTACATTTCATCTGGTATATACATTGTATATTGCTATACTTATAGTAAACATTCACCATTAGAAGTTTACAACTGTTTGGCTGCTTGGCTTTTAAAATAAGGTCTTTGTCTTGTTAAACAACTTAGGTTTGGAAAGGGCTTTAGTAGTTGCATTTGAATCTTTTTTTTCAGGGTTTTTACTCTGAAAACATCAGTAAGTTTTCAGAGTTTATTGTTTTGCACAAAAAGGTTGAAATGTTACTAAGAGAAAACAAAAAAGTGAGTAGACATAGATTTGTCAACTTTTCCCACATAATTTTTTATTTCTTGTCACTGAGTTAAAATCAAATCTTTTCATGTGAAATTGCATCACTTTTACTTTTTTCCTCAAAAACTATAGTCTGACTAGGTTACTAGGACTTCATACTAATTAAAGAAAAAAAATACTATTTCTATATCTACCTGTCCATGTAAAGTACAGAATGTTTTCAGCAGCTGTTTGAAAACTTTTTTTTCTTTCTAGTTATCTTTGTCTATTTGTATAAATTGCTAAATTGCCTCCAGACGTAAGACAATCATTTGCATAAGTGCATAGAGATTTTTGTCTTCCATGAAGGAGACAAATGGCCTCTTAATCATTTTCCTTCCTTCCTTCTGTTGCAGTATCCAGCTGCTCTAATGAACCTGGGAGCCATCCTGCACCTCAATGGCAGACTCCAGAAGGCCGAGGCCAACTACCTGCGGGCGCTGCAGCTCAAGCCGGATGACGTCATCACACAGTCCAATCTCCGCAAACTCTGGAACATCATGGAAAAGCAAGGCTTAAAGACTTCCAAGACCTGACACAGGACAGAACTTCACCCTCCTCCGTTTTTAAAAGCCGGCTTCATTAACAGAACTTCCCAGCGGTGTTATGACAAGAGCTCGTTTTGTACTTCTTGAGATCAGGGCAGAGGTCACTGAGGTCACTGTCACTTCTGGGAGAATCCACTTTGCTGTTGGCACAGCCATTAACACCAAAAGGGGAATGTTGGAAACCTCCTGGAGGATGTAATTGTTACCCATAGACTGCAAACCAGAGCACTTAAAACAGGATCTTCTGGCATTCTTAAAAGGGAAGGGGGTTGTTTAAGTTACAGATTTTGTTAATTTTTGAAAGCTAATTTCAAAATTATATTGTTTCTTAAACACTGTGAGAGGAAGTCAGAAGGCCCATTCAGCCAAGGTAAACTATTAAGTGTTAATAGGGAGTGATTGTGTGAATCCCAGTGAGCCACTGGTTGTCCTAACGCTGCTGTCTTCCCTCTTTGGGACAGCCTGCTTGTCAATTTCTGAAGCTTAGAAAACATTTTTTTTTTAATGCTGTGTCAGGATCTGTCAGAATCTGCATTTGTTTTTTGACTAGTGCACATAACGTTTCATGATTTGGATGTCACAGGCTTCACTTTTTTGAACATCATTTGTTTTTCATGTTCTGAAAAGGAAATGGAAAGTAGAGCTTACCACACTTGACACTGGTGTCATGAGGGGGGTTGGGGAGGTCTTATATGTGTCAGGCAGGCATTTTTTATTTTAAGATTGCCAAGTGTTTCCCCAAAACTGCCTAGTAGGTTTCATTGTAGTAATTCTTTTGAAATTACCTTTTAAAATGGCTATTTGTGGTTAATGCTCATGCTTACATAACGATAAGGGAAAGGAAAGTTTATAAGTGTTACAGTTCCAATAACTGACCAACAGCTATTAGACAAAAGGGAAGGTGCTTTGTGCTTCTTAGATGTTACCGTTTTAAAAAAATCAAGTCTACGCGAAAGAGTGTATGATGATGGTTGCCAATGACTTTGTGTTTTGGAAAGAGTGAGTATGAAATGCTAATCACTTTCTGATAGGTACCTAAATAGTAATGCTGATAAGTTTTCAAGGAATTATTTTTATCTTATTTTGCTCTTCCCAAAAGATGTCAAAAAGGACTTATAAGCTGCAATCGAGTGTAGCATTAGCCTGCGTGTGTCAGATATTCTGCCAAGTGTTTTTCTCAGTTGAAAACTATTTTTCATTACCAAATTTGGTATTTTCTTTTGATACCTGTTAGTAACCACTTCAATGATCATTTCATGAGTAAAAGGCTGTAAATGAAGTAGAAAAACACATTCATTGAACAATTTTTGGCTTGCAGTCAAACTGTGCTACTAAAACTTAACTTCATAAAATACCAGTCCATTAGCAACTTCTTCATAGTGAAAGTAGCTATATTATACCATACATATTTATTTATTTATTATTCTATCATAGCAGAATAACAAAATAAAACTTGATGCATTAAGCCAATTCTTTGCAACTGAAAATTAGCTTCTTCATTTTCCCTTTCACACTTCATGTATATATGATCAGCATCCCCATTAAAGGGAAGCCTGACATGCAAACACATCATACTATGTTTTCTCCATATTTTATATGTTTTGTTACATATCTGAATACAGTGGAATAAAGAATTAAAAGTAGTGTTCATATGGTATTAGTGTTTTTGTGAGAAGAGCAAATGTAGTGAAAAATTTTTGGATGGCATTGAAGAAGGCCCTACTATAATATGTATATTATTTTGTAAACATTTCATTGAAGGGCCAGCAGTTAAATTATAACTAAATCGCTGTGTTTTCAGAATGATATTTAACATTTAACAACAACAAACCCATGGTCAAACCAAAACAGTGGGTTGAAGAGTACTTTTCATGTTCTAGTGCATTGGCAATTGCAAAAAAAAAAAAAAAAAAAGGAATTTAATATAAGGTTATAGAGATGAATTCAGTGTCTAACATTTTTATTTATTTAAATAGTTATTGACCTATGATGACTTCCTAGTCTTAACATTATATGTCTTTTTATTGTTGTTATTCTTTCTTTCAAACATTTGGTTCTTAATAGGTTCACTAAATGCACAGTAGAGGCACTTCATGTTGACCCAGGTCCCAAGTAGCATTAATAATTGGGTCTGTGTCATAAAATGCATGGATCTTTAATAACTAAATGTCCCTGACACTTTTCACTACAGGGCTGGATTTAGTGGCTGACCAACTCGTGGGGGAGGGGTGGGGGGCTGTTAGAACATGATCAAAAAATGTCTCCGCTCAGGGATTTATGGGGGATTATTGCAGACAGTGCTAAAAATATAGAGCACAAGACAAGTTTACTAAATTAAAATTTTATTTTTGAGAAACTGTTATTTGTATAAATTATCAAGATTTGTAGGCTTTCCTTTTGTAGAAATAATTGTTTTATGTGCCAGAGAATTTCAATTTTGTTTTCAACAATAAAGCATTGATAACAAATACATTGTGTAACCCTTCTTTTACTGTTCTACAGCAACAACACTTAAACGCTCTTGGATTTTAACAGAATTAGGAAAAAGGTTTAAAAGAGTAGACGTTGAGTGTAAATAGAGATACATTGTAGTTAATGTATAATCAATAATTAATTTTCAATAGCTATAATAAGGTTTGCCAATATCGCCAAGTTTACCATGTTCAGAAAAGATGACAAAGGTATGTTTTGTTTTCTTTGGTTATTGAACTGTAGAAAAAGTTTTTTAAAAATATTCTTAGCAGAACATATTTACCAGTTCCATGCTTCAGTCGGTTGTTTGGTAAAAATGACCGTATTTACAAGACCCTGATTCTTTAGTTCTCGTCTTGGATGAAAGCACAACCCTGTCCTGTTGAGCAATGTGGATGCAGAACATTCATGAGTCAATTATAATGAAACCTTGTGTCCTAGACAAAGTGCAAACTGATGAGAGAATTCTATAATCATATTAAAATGGGTATACGATGTGATTATATATTGCCTATTTTCTTTATTATAGGATAAAATTTAACTGAGGAATTCATTTTATGCTAAACATTCTATGGATGTGTGAGGTTGTGTTCCAGCTTTACAGATAAGAAAACTAGGGCTCAGAGGTATGAAACAACTTGCCCAACATTATTAAACTAGCAGGCAGCAAGCCTGTCTCCAAGTTGTCCGATGTGCATGTGTCCTGGGTCATGTGGGCACACAGGCACTGAACCAGAAGACTGGAGATCAAGTTTCTCACCCCTCTCTAGCTATTTCTCTAGCTCTTTCAACTTCCACAAATCACGTTCTCTTTCTCTCTCACTGCAGACGATCATGAAGATTAAAAGATGTAATTCATGAAAAACATTAAAAATTGAGGTTGTGAGAGCCAAAAAAGCAATGATCATGTAGCTAAACTCACTTTCCACCTGAAAGATATAAGAACCATGAGTTAAGAGATTTAACCAAGATCCCAAAATTAGTCACTGGCAGCACACAAAAGGCTATAAAAATGTCAATTATTAAGAGGTCTTGCTGTATGAAGTAATTACCTAATTGATTCTGTTTTTAAATCAAGATATAGGTTTAACTTGGATTGAAGCACTATACTCTGAAACAAATGAAGGCAGGATAATGGCTTTCTTTTTTGGCATTTTCTTTAACCTCACACATTGCTGTTGAGTGAAGACCATAAGATATACTATAAATGAAAATTCCATCTATTTGTTCATGAGCAACTTGATATTTTTTTAAAAATCACTTTCGAAAAGTTGAGACTTGGGGATTTGTTTGATATGTTTACTTGAGTGATCACAGTTTTCATATTGTACATTTTTCCAGTGAAAAAGAAAATGCATAGGTCTTGATTATTCTTTCTCTTGCAAGGAAAGAAACTGAGTTTCTGTGGATAACTTAACAATTATAATAACTCCATTTGTATATACCTTTGAAATATGAGTTTTTACTAAACTGAAATGTTATCAAACTTGCTTCCTATTATTTAAAACTCAGCTTAGTTTAATGAAGGGGTATTGCTAGCAAACAGCTTATGCACTGGAACCACTACATGCTATAAAAAGAGCAAACTGAATAGCAATGTGGTTGTACAAGCTCTTATGCTTTAGTTTTGCAGTGGAGAAAGATGCCTGTGTACTAGGACTTGAACCTTCTTGCTGTGTCATTTGGGTGGTCTTCCTGCAGGATGCAGTCAGAGAGGCCTTTGAGTCAGCTTTCGTTCCATCTGCAGCTTCACCACATATTGCCCTTTGTTGTTGTTGTTGTTTCACAGAGACTTGAGATGTATTTTTCTCCCTGGAGGACTGCTGGGATTTAAGTTTCTTGTTAACTTGAAATTCCTGTCAAGTTTTCCTTCTAGTTTTCCCCAAACATTCCCCCAACATCTTACAGCTGCTGTCTCATGCTATTGTGCTATTTAATTGTCTGCTTCCAAAGACTGGAGAGAAAAGTTTTTGTTGAGCAAGAAAATCCTTGGATCAAATGAGAAGATTACAGGATTTGAGACACCATGATGAGATCGGTAAAAAATACCTATAGAAATCTAAGAAGTAAAATGTCTACAGTGGTGTTTGGGAAAAGTTTCTGGAGATGCCCAAAAAGAGAAAGTCAAAGTAGGGAGAGAAAGTATAGACACAGGGAATTGACTGTTACTTATTAGTAATAGTTAAATTTCTGTTGTACAGGTAGAGGATTTGTTTAAAACAGTTTGAGACTGTGTTCTTTTGGGTTGCCTAGTAATCTGTCAAGATTGGGTCACTGTATAGAGAAAAAAATATATAACAAATAAGTGAGTGAATAATGCAACCACGAGAGAAGCTGGAAAAATGTTCAGCCAATTTGATGTCTGGACTAGAACTGTCTGTTCTATGTGGAAATACATTTATTTCTACCTCCTTTGGAATTGACAGATATATCACTTACTTGAGACAAAGCTCTCAGCCTTTCTCCAGTCAGATGAAGAAAATAGAGTTCTATATTTCAAGTAACAGTTTAAGCCTTCTAGAAACACTTCTTCTAATCATTTTCTACCATGTCTCTTTCTTCTCCGTCCTAGAAGATTCAAAATGAAATAACTCCTATGAGACCTTTCTCTTGGTAATATCATTGAGCAGTTAGAGACTATAATGAAGTTTTCAAAAATGTATTGAGGAAGAAATCAAGCCAATTAATTTGCTTCCGAAAATACTTAAAATAGTATAAATGGATTAAAGTGTAGTTATTTGCAACTGGATGCTCCTCTCGTATAATGTAAAAGATAATTTAGTACCAGAAAATCAGAACTGATGAAGGAGGAGAGAGGTGGGGTGGAAATAGTAATCACGTTTGATTTTACTGTGGGTCCTTTTTCTAATCTCATTTAGCAAGTAATGGCCATATTGACTCTAATCACAATTAGCCTTTAATTCTGCAGACATCAACTTATTAAATACATAGAACCAATTAATAATCTCAAACAGTTTTCATTTGCTTTTATTCCTTTTTGTGTTATTTTTAAATATGTTGTTATGCTTAATGTCTGTGGAAATTTTATGTTTCCTTTGCAATAGGCTACTATTCTATAAATGTGCCTTTGACTATACTTTATGATAATGACAATTTGGGAAATTACACTGGAATTATGTTTCAAAGTATTTTTTTTTTCAAAACTTTCCTATGCTACCAAATATTTTGATGTTACTACATAATATCCTGTTAAATTTTAATAATTTTGCTTTATATGATATGAAAGCATACAACAATGTTATGTTTTATTATTTCCTATCGTGTCTAACCCTTTCCCTAATACCCCATTGATGGTATGTATAAAATGTGATTATATCAGCAAAGCCTATATAAAATTAATCACGGAAGTTTCTTGGTTAATTTGTTGTCCCTTCTGTTTATAGAACCAATTATGGTTTAGACTTGTATTTATGGCAAAATTTTGCTCTGTGAGTGATGCTGAAGATGAGTTAATCTGCTGCTATTTCTCAAGTGGCCAAAAGTGATACTCTTAGAAATCGGTCACAACAACAGAGAGTTAGAGGGAGCAGAGATTTGGCCTAAGCATTGTACAAATGAAGAAGCTGTGATTTAGGGCAGTTAATTGTCATACCTAAGCTTAAACATTCACAGTGGATCCAGTGTAGCATGTAAAATGTTGAAGTATTACCTGCAGGTTATTTCCTGCACAGCCCAATACTATCCAAAGTTTGTGAAATCCTCTCTTCTTTAGAGTAAGGGGTGACACAAAGCTCTGGGTAAATTCAGTTTGGGTCTCTGGTTTAAGACATAAAACTTTCATTCTAGGATAAACTTATGATTTATACCTAACTAAACACAGCTGGCCTAAGTAAAAGTGGAACACAGAAGCATTAGGATAGATTAAACCATTTCCACATACACACAAAATTTTGTTATCTGATGACACCGCCTGATTATATTTTCTGACCTGTCCATGATGCATCAGTTTCCCAAGGTTCACTCGCCTATTGCCAGCAGGTGCAGTGTGTAAGACCCTGGTAGACATAACCAAGTGCATGTAATCCTTCATGAAGAAATAGGTTAGATTTTTTTTTTTCTTTATATGAGGATATTCTTCATGAAATTAAGGCTTTGGGGGGACATACTATCTAGATGAAAGCACGTTATAGGCCAAAGAATACTGGAAAAATATGAACAGCATGTCATTTTTCTATTGTAATGTAATAATAGCAAATACATTTACTGCAAGGCTTTATGATTATAAACTAATCTGTTCAATTCCCTCACCAACTTTGTCCACCTTTGTCCACCTTTGTCTTGCTCTGTTATACACAAGGGCATGCATGCACACGTGCACACACTACACAAACCCACTCATCATGTGTCTGGTAAGTACCCAGCTAATCCTAAATCCAAACATAAGCATCCATTTGCTCCTCCAGGAGAGGAAGCCACTATGAGGAATGCGACATAATTTTACATGTTTTGATTAACAGAGGAAGTAAAGTGAGATTAAACCTTTTGTCCTTTCGTGAGTAATTTAAATTCAGACAAGCAGGAATCAAAAGGAAATGAGGGCAGACATTTCTGAAGATACTGTTATAAACACCTTGGCACATCTCTTTTCACACTCCCATGCCTGTCACAATCAAGCTGCTGCTGTGATTCAATGAATCAATCCTTTATATAGAGCACTTTTATGTCCTATTCTGGTTAAAAAAAAACCAAAAAAACAAAAAAAACATGACTCATAAAAAGAACAGATATGATGAATAGAGATTTGTAGCTCTCCTTTTTCAGGATAAGAAAAGTTACCACACTGACCTTTAAATATCTTGGTTTTAAATATATTTTGTCCTAGAGACATTAGCCAAATGAGCAAATAATATGGATTCTCTAATTCAGGAAGCAATGCACTCAGTATAATTCTGAGTCCTATGAAAATGAGGTGATGACTGGAACACCCTAATTGTATCACCTTTCTCTTTTGACTTTAGCTCCTCAAGTGACATTTTA